GATCTTGCAAAAGTAATAAATCTCCCTGTCTTGGAAGGTAGCAGAGTCGGACCTACAGAGACTCCTCCAGAAGGCACAAACCACACCACCATTGCCTTCCACCATGTCTAGCAGAGACTGATCAACTCTGAAGCCTGGGACTCTCGAGCAGAGGACAGGAAGCCACGTGAGTGACATCTCGGTGCTGCTTGGCCTTGGACTTGGTAGGGTATAGATGGGGAATGTGAAACCCTCAGACCAGTCTTAATCTTTTAGTATCATATCTGTCTCACTGTAGTTAGAAAAAAAGAATCAGAGTATCATCTGTACTAGTAAGAAAGAAGCGCTAAGTGTGCAGGTCCTAGAAAACATAGGAATTATCATCACTCTTTCTTAAAGCTGAAGGCCCTGAGACTTAATGGAAGTTAAGTCACTTGAGTGCTGAAGCCAGAACTGGAATTCAGGTTTGGCTGCTTCTAGAGCTTGCTCCTCATTACCACCATGTTGGGATACCTCCCACAGGTCCAGCAGCTTAAACAGATGGCCATAAATCAAATCTACATCCATAAACCAAATCTATGACACCCTAAGGAGACATGCCACTGTGTTAGTGAAGATGTTAGGGCAATTTATGGGTATTGAATATGTAGCTTTCTGCCTTCATGTATATTCATTTGAATTCATTCACTCACTCACTCATCCATTAAACAAAGATTTACTGAGCATCTGCTATGTATATGCTATGTTACTAAGCACAATTAGGAATAAGTGAGTACAAGGGAAACAAAAATGAATTAGATTCTGCTTTTAAGAGCTTACATGGGAAGTTAGAGATACATGTAACTAGCTTCAGAGTTACAAATAAAGGAGTGAGGTGACTTCTGGGTGTGTGTCTGCACGTGTGCAAACACAAGCATGTATGTGCATGTGTTTGGCAACTGGTTATGGCTAAAGAGAGAGCTCTAAACTTGAACAAATGCAGGGAAGTAGGAAATTAAAAAATGACTCCAAGATGATTAGTTTGGCTAGTGTGAAGGGCCCTTAAAAGGGATGGACGGTAAGACTGGAACTATCAGCAAACCATCATATTTCACATTCAAAGGAGTGATGCGATTGGTTCTGTGCTTCAGCAAGAGTCTCTGGCATTACTATAAGTAGGGGTCAGCAAACCATAGCACGTGGGTCAATTTAGTCCATGGCCAGTAAGCTAACAAAGGTTTTTATATCTTAAAGAGTTGTTTGAAAGTCAATAAGCAAGTAAACAGAAAAATATGTGACAGAGACTGTATGTAGTACACAAAACCTAAAATACTTACCATCTGCCTCTTTATAGAGAAGTTTGTCAACCCCTGTAGTGTATAGAATGGTTGTTGGGGGGATATTAGATTAGGGGAAACCAGGTTAATGGGGAACAGCAATAGGTTAGGAAAAGAAGAGCAAGGGGATGGTTGAGAGTATAGACTTTGGAAATTCTGGAGCTGGAGGAAAACAAGGCTTGATATGTGTGCATTTGGGAGTTGTCTCAAAATGGTAATTGAAGTCAGAATAATGAACAAAAGGGAAGAGAGCGAAGAATTGATCTTTGATAAACATCTGCTTACAGTGTGGGGAGGAAGAAGAGAAATTAGCCATAGAAAGATAAATAATCTGTAAGAGACAGAATCTAGAGAGACTAACATCATTGAATCTATAGGAAAGAAACTTTGAAGAGGGAAGAGGAGCTGACAGTGTCAAATGCTACGGAGAAATTACTGAAAAGGACACAAACCTGATGGCCTAATATCTTTGCTTCAATTTATTCCATTAGCACATTTTCTACGTCCTTGGATTTTCCTTGCCTTAAGATGCCCTATTCAAGTGACAGTGTGATGATACAGAGATGCTACAGTTTCAGCTGCCAGGACATAACAGTGTGTCCACCGTCTTCCACATAAAGGTAAATAGCAGTTCCCTCCTATCCTCCCCAAACCACCTCATCTCTGTCTATGAACATCCCTGGAAGCTCCTTAACTGATATCTTTAAAAATAAGTTTATTTTCATTCCTGCACATTCTGCATTGATGTACTGGATAAACATAATAGTCTAGTTGCAATGTTTGCTTTTAAATTTTAGAATCGTTATTGCAGATGAGAACCAACTATAGGAAAGCAGGAAGGAAGCTCATGCTGCCATACTACAAAGACCGTGAAATGCATTACAAAAGTCCCCAAGAAGCAGTCAGGGGATTAACATACAAAAGGTTTAGAACAATGATTGTAGAGAACAGGAGAGGTTATGACTACAGATGAATAAAGAGATTACCTAGGATTCTTCTAACTGAATTAGAACTGATGACTCAGCTTTGGGAGTGATGGCTTGGACTCTCAACTAGGCAAAGAACAAAAAACTACACTTTAAAATATGCTTCCGTATAGATGACCTCAGGAATTTGATCTCAGACCAGCAAATTATGGAGAAGCTTGGCATTAAAGTTTGAGATGAAGGAAGTGATGGTGGTGGGGCGGTGGGGGGAGGGTGGGCAACTGTCCTTGGAGGTGGGAGTGGATTTTAAAGTCTTGGATTTTAAAGCAGCATCAGTTTGGAATAGAGACATGATTCTCTGGTGTGACTGGGAAGTGGTGGCAAGATGAAGAGCACTGGCCCCTAGGAGGTCTAGCAGTTGTAAAATCAGTTCTAGAACCAAATACCTTAGCTGAACTTGGCAACGAATGGTTAGGCTGACCTCAGGGTATTACATCCCACTTCGTTTGTAAAGGGAATCACAAGAACCTCGCAGGATGTGGAGTGAAGAGGCGCTCCCTGTGCAATGCTTCCTGGGGTGCGCGCTAAGGGGAAGTACCTGGGCTCTGCAGCAGGACAGCCCCGGCGTGGCTCTTCCTGGCTGTGTACACATGTCTTCACCTCTCCACCTCATTTCCCGCCCCTGCTCCCTTCAAGAGGAGAAAAGTAATGCCTACCTCATTCCACCTCCTTTCTGAAGCATCTATGTCCATGGACACAATCCTTCAAAATGGAAATTATTTTAATTCCATTTCTGATTTTAAAAATCCTAATTTCTCCTTAGCCTAGAGCTAGGGATACCCTACATTTCTTACCATAAATAGCTCTCATTAAAATGCAATTGGACCTTTCAGCAGGGGCCGTGATTAAGTGACAAGACAATTATCAGACAGAAAGAATTCCAGGGAACAGTCCCAGAAAAGTCCATTCAGCCTCATTTGATTTTATGACTTCCAACTGGTTCCTAGAATTTTGATCCTCACTGCCTCTCTAGGAAATGTGCAGGATTGCTGGAATATACAGTTCTGTTACGCTTTCACAGTCACTGGCCTTAGCATTGGAAAATCACCACTACTCGGTTAGGGGAAAATCCCTGCTGCGGCCTGTGGAAGCTCAGGGTCTCACGCCCCTCCTTGAGAGTGGGGGTAGCATGTGGGCTGACACGCTTTGAGCAAACCCCACCCCCCCACCCCGCTCCCTGGCTGGGAGGGCACCAGCGGCACTTCCAGGCCGGACAGAGGCTCTCCTGGGAGGCCAGCAAGTCCTGACCATGACCGATCTGCATGCAGCTTTTCTATACCAGGCAGCCAGACAACTTAGGTCAGGTACTACAGGATTAGAGGTGTTGTCCCATTCTCCCCAGCTCACGCCTCTTACCCCAAACCTGAAGGCTGCTAAAAGGCTTCTCATATGGGCCGTGTGGATGCTTTCTGGAGTTGGGTCTTGCTTACTTGAATCAAGTCTTTTTTCCTAAATATTTGTTTCCTCAAACTCAGAAATTGCCTCCTTTCCTCCCTCGTGGCAGCCTCAGTGAGCATCTGTGTGTACCAGCTATCATCATACAGACAAGGACACCATTGTGGACAAGAAGATTCCAGCCCATGACCAAGGAGCCTGCAGTCTCGTAGGGGAACTGGCTGCAGGCGGCTCACTCTGGCTTCTCTCCTCCCAATCTGCCTCCCCATGGTTGAGCCTTTTAGGGTCTTATCCTGGTGCCCCTCTAGAGGAGCAGTACTCCCCCGATGTCCCTGAAGATAATCATTCCAGGATGCCCACGCACACCTGAGACTGTCCAAAGCCCAAGTGAGGTCACTGTTCAGGTGTGAACTGCTCCTTTGCCTCCCCTTCAGCAGGGTGGCGTGTATGGCCTTTGAGAACAGTCTCCTCTTGCTGCAGCCCTCTATGAATTGACCCAGAGTGGGCAATTCACTAAATATGCTTCAATGAGACAATTTAAAAATACTTGGCGCAGAGATGAAATACTACCGGTGTTGAATCTAGTTTCCGATTTACTAATCAAGTGAGTTCGGGTTTCCTCATCTGTGAGTTGAGGATAATAATTGCACCTTTCACATAGGGACAGCTGCCGAGATCATATGAGTTAACACGTGTGAAGATCTGGCACCCTGCCCTGCACGAAGCAAGCATTCCCTAAATATTAGTTCACGTTATTTCTGTTCACCCTAACAGAAGGTCTCTGTGATTAAACATTTCTGAGGCATTTTTCCCCAGAAGTAAATGTTTCAGTAACTATTGAAGGACATTTCAGAAATAATGGAAATTCTCACCCTTCCATGGGTACATTTTCCCACTTTCCACCTGTATAGATTAGCAGATTAGCCTAGACCCTGCGTCACTGAGGCAGCTCACACTAAGCGCATCAGCGATTCACTCGTCACAAGCTAAGTGCAACCCCGTGCCTAAGAGAGGATCCACTGAAGCATTTTCCAGGAGGAAACCTTGTTCTCTCTTCAATTCACTGGGTGAGGCAATCAGGGCATCTGTGAGCTTCTGTAGGAAATATGCTAGAACCCTGCTACTCACACTTCATTAAATCCGAGCAGAAAATGCAGTGCCTTAGCTACTGAGGGGAGGAAGCTACAGGAGCCGTTGGAGCCTGAGGATAGTCGTGAACTTGGCCGGAAAGAAAACACAGTTGGTGTGTGATTTAAGAAAATGGTTAAACAGACAGAGGGAAAGTGGAGAGGGCTCTGCTGCCCACGGAAACACTGTTACTCACCAGTTCCTTTTTCTTCATGCACTCCATGAGGATGATGAACAGATGCTGGGCTTGGGTTCGAGTGTACGTGAACGTCTTCTGGATGGTCACCAACAGCTGGTCCCTCAAAGACTCATTTATCAGTCTGCAGTGAAAAAAATGTCAATGTCAGGTTAATTCAGCTCCTATTTAATATCTATTTCTGACAAATAGAAAACACGAGAATGCATTATGAGGATTTACTTTAGGCAGGAGCTATTTCTTCCTGTATTTTTCTCATAGCAGTTATTTCAACTGTGGTAACTTTTTTAAAAGTACATTTAAAAATAAATCCATTTTAACATCTCAGAACCTAAATGAGTAAAGTAAGAAGATTGATTTAGTTCTTCTTTGGCTATCTCTTTTTTTCTTTTACACGGCATGCATCTAATGCCCTCTTGCTCAAGTGCTGTTATCAAAAAAAATGCCTTCAATTAATCCTTTGCATCTTGGTAAAAATTTACTACATCACTTGTTTGAAGGAGATTTAAGTGTCAACTTCATGTCTAACTTTGGAAAGAAAACCTATATTTCAGTAAGGGATTTTTGAGTATCAGTGAGGAGAAAAAACTTATGTCTCCTCTAAAATCATTTCATTTCATTTACTTATCTGGCCTACAGTTCAGGTCATCATTATTTACGTGGTACTTTACTATGTTGTTTGCCAACAAGAGTCTGATCCATGAGGAGGTATTATATTGATTACTCTATTAAAAGATAGTTTTCATAATATAAAGGAATGAATTAAAGCAAGGGAGGTGCATGATACTAAGAATGAATGAGCATTAGCCTGGCCAGAGGGTGGCAGGGCTGAGTAAGAGCATGACTGGCAGACAAAACAACATGAACATACCTAGTTTGGAGGAAATAAAAGAAGACCAGTGTGGCTGGAACACAGAGAGCAAAAGAAAGAGTAGAACAAAATGGGACTGCAGAAGGGGTGAGCCCAGGAAGGGTCATGGGGAATTTTCGAGATAGTGTGAGAGATTTTGGATTTCATCCCCCAGGTAATGAGAAACAAGTAAAGGATTTAAGTTGGAGGGTAACACGATTACATTTGTATTGTCAGGTAATTTTCTTGAAGAGTCAAGACATGAACACTCATACCTGAGCATATGTCAACTTGACAGGTAACCCATGTGGGTGAGTCTATAGATTTTGGCAATGTCAAATGTACATAAATGTTGTACACGGCTAATAACAGAAGAGATTCTCCTGATTAGCCACTTGATAGAGCTAATCATTTACTTGCAGGTGTTTAATTTTAACAACAACTCAAAATTTGTTTTCCATTGCCAACCATCCGTAATGAAATCCCAGTTCCCCGAGGTCATTAACTGTTTGAGGGATCTGTCTGTCACTTGTATTTAGTTTGTCAGTTTGTAAAAAATTGAGTGCACCTTAGCTGACTGTGGGCTTCAGTGGTTAGGAGAGCTGAAAGGCACTAAGCATCTTATACTTTTTAGCACAATTTTGCAACTGACTGAAATTGTGCTTTTGGTTAAATCATTTGGCAACAAAGATCACGGAATTCTACTTCTAGAAGTACAAGAATTTTCTAGGTTGGTGTTTCCCAAAGCATGAGATAACTGTCACTGTTGGAGCAGAGATGAATTTAGGTGGAACAAAGGTGACAGGGTCCTTTCAAAGCACTAAGTTATACTCATTAATCATTAAATAATAGTTATTCTTGGTTTAGTTTTTTTTCCACTCTTCTGACTGCATCAAAAGGAAAATTTCATTTTTGATGCTTCTTTGCCTTTAACAGCTCACAAACACTTGCAGATCTCCCCATTTTGACCAAGAAATAACAGGTTTTACGTCCCATACTTTTTGCAGAGAGTTTACTATTGTTTTAAAAAAGACCCTGTGTGACATTTGACATGTTCATAGTGCATTAGGGTTTATGACACACAACGGGCTTCACAGAGATAATCTCATTTGATTTTCATAACAATTTGTGAGAGAACCAGGTATTAGTCCCATTTTGCAGAAGAGGAGACAGTGGCCCAAAGAGGTTAAATAAGGTATGTGAAGTCACATAGCTTGATGATCTCAGTGTCTCAGTTTTGTCTACAGAATTCAGCCTTTCTTCCATGGTATTGCTTTTCCTGACTGCAACCAATAAATATGTCTTTCTTAATCACCTGCATTGGAGGTGGAAATTTATGTGTAATTTGTTGTAGGAAATTGCTTTTCCTTTTCATGATATAGAGAATATCTGAAGGAAATCAGACAAGTTTGGAGAAGATAAGGAGAAACCAGTAAATGAGGACAATGGCAAAGTGCATTTAGTACACTGAAGATTATATTTGCTTCTAATTTTTCACAAGTATTTTCTATGCTGAACTAGATGTTTTCCATTTGGCACAAAGACTTACTATGTCTTCTCCACCGCACCTTTCTGGTTTTGTGGTCATACTCCTTACGATATCAAGAAGCCTACTTTCTTGAAATTATTACTGTCCTAGCTCTTCCCAGTTTTTTCTTCTGCACAACACTGGAATAATTTAACAATCTTGACTGTTATATTTAATCATGAGCAAAAAATAGAAACAAGCCCATTTTTGGATTTCTTTTTATGGCACCAGAATAGCGATTGAAAATTTCTTGACATTAAAACATGGTCATAGTACTATGTAAATTTTTAGTTCTAGAGTTGGTTATTTGACAAAGGGGTGCCTATTTATGGAAACTGTTAATTTGTGGCTCCATATGTACCAATGCTATTTCTGGCACACCTCAAATTAGAAGGATTTCTGATTTAGGAAGTGTAGTCATTGAAGTGAGGAAGAGCTCTACACTATGGCATTTGTGTCTGCATTTAAATGCTGTATTTGTGATCTGAAGCTTTCCAGATGAGTCATGGAGTTAATCTGAAATAGGTCAGTGTTCACCCAGAGCTCAGAGTACCCAACAAAACTTCCCATAGTTTGCTATTGGTATTCTGTTTAAATGCTGGCAATTCAACACACATTTCCATACTTTTCTCTGAATTTCATTACCTGCACTATCAGAGTTTTGTTTCTGGACTTAAAAATTGGAAAATGCATTTAGAATTCAATGGGACTCAAAGAGCTGGGCTTTGGCTAATGGCTTTCGAGGAGAGGAATCCTTCTCATGTCCCCATAGACACTGTATTAACTTATTCAGATACAATATGAGAAAATTTTACTTATATAAATAAGAAATGATTGTTAATAATACCACAGTTTGGTACTTGTAAGACATCATTTCCCAAGGAGTCTCTAATGCTCTAAAAAAATGAAATTTTATCATTTGCTTGAAGCCAAAGCAAATTACTAAATTCAACATTAAGAGCACAGGAAATTTACACGTCTTGCCTAAAGTCACAGAGAATGGTATTTTTATTTTCTTCTCTTCCCTTTCTCCCTCTTCTTTAGTAGAAGTTGTCACTTCTTCCCAAATGGATGGGGTCACAAGTAACAGTATGACTCTTCCCAGAGAGGCAGAACAGCATTGTGAATAAAAGCATCATGGTCACCAGGGCCAGGCTCTCTGGAGTGAAGCTGTCACTTGCTAGCTGTGTGATCTTGTGCAAATTATTTAATATTTCCATGTCATTATTTTGGTATATGTAAAATAGGAATTATAATAATACTGATCTCATAGACCTGTGAATATTAAATTAATCTTTGTTAAATGCTCAGAAAAGTGCCTAACACATAGCAAGTCCTATGTAAGCATTTGCTATTATTAAAGCACAGTCCTACAATGCTCCTTACGAAAGAGTCCCAGACTGGGTCTTCTTGTTAAATAGCATGACCAATGGCTGGGGCCTCTGCATGCTATGCAGAGCTCTCTCCCAGGATCAACAGTGCTCGGCACACTTGGTGAGCCCAGTGGTATAGGACACTCCAACCTAGGCAGGAGAAATCACTTTCCCACTGCCAAAAGGTCAGAGATCACCATTCTTTCTTACATTTGGGAAACAGAGATGCTTAGATTTGGAGGCTTAATTATAATGAAGCCTTGCAAACACTCCATGCAGATATCTATCTATCTATCTGTCTGTCTGTCTGTCTATCTATCTATCTATCCAATCATTCATTCATTCATTCAATATTAGTACTTACTATATGCCAGGCACTATGCTAGGGGTAAAGAGATGAACAGAATTCAGTCCTAGCCTCAGGGAACACACAGGATTGAGTATCAAATATTCTGGTCATTTATCAATGGGTAACACACCCCAAACATAGCAATGTAAAACAGCATTTATGTATTATGTTGATAATTTGTGGGCCAAGAATTCAGACAGAGCACAGCAGAGGTGACTCATCTCCGCTCCATGGTATCTCGGGCCTCAGCTGGAGAGGCTGGGGTGACTAAAGATGGCTATTGTGGCTCAACTGGAGCTGAATGTCTGGGACCTCAATCCTTCTTTACGTGGTGTCTGCTGGGGCTGGAATGTCCAAGATGGCTTCTTTACTTCCCAGTCTGGTACATGGCCTGGGATGGCTGAAAGAACTGAGGGCTGGGGGGCATTACTCTCTGGTGGTTGCAGGGTGGATGGACCTCTTACAGGGCAGCTGACTCCTCTCAAAGGAAGGGATTCCAAGAGAGAGTGTTCGAAGAGACCCAGGCAGAAACTGCAAGGCTTCTTATGACTTATCCTCAGAAGTCACACGATATCATTTCCTTAACATTCAATTAAGCAAGCAAGTCACCAAAAGCAGACCAGATTCAAGAGGAGGGAAGGAATAGACTATTTCTCGATGGGAGGAAAACATAAATGTGCAGAGAAGGAATATACTGATGGTGATGATCCTGGAGACAAGCAACTCCATCAAGTGATTCTGTTCAGATGAGACATTGTAAAGCATTTTTCTATATTTCAGTGATAAATAGCCTCCATTGACTTATTTTGAGTTCTCATTTTTAACAGTTTATTATAATGGGACCCACCATTTTCCATAAAAGTGATAGTCTAGCCACTCATAAGTATTTTCAAAATGTTATTGATTTGAAGCATAGAACCTGTAGCTAGTTTCTGTTTTACTCTAGCTGACTATTTACATCTATTTAGCACCTACAGTGTACCAGGAATTTATTTTAGGCCTTGGGCTCCTGTCTAGAGCCTTT